GTGGAATTTCTTAACTGCATGCACTCATGAAGAGAACTGGGGCATATCTGGCTGTTTTTGGAAGGACTTGCTGGGAAGATACTCAAGCAAGCCATTCCTTCTTCACAGGGGTTTCAGTCTTTCGTAGTCTTGAATGTTAAAGGTCCTCTCCTTTCAACCTGATTTCTCACCGCTGTGATTTTTCTTGAAAGAATGGTTATAACATATTAAAAATTTGCAATTTTTGGAAGGATAGTAGTAGTTGAATTATGTGATGAGAACATCCCTGATTAATTGCAGCTATACTTGTCAACAAAGATGGCAGTCTGCTCCTTATATAATTCCATAAGGGCTTGGTAATTGCTAAATATAAGCTTTTCAGCTCTATAATGTTTATGAATTTTCAAAGGGAGAACAGTCCAAAAAGTCCTGCAGATTTCCTGTCAAAAAGTCCTTTGAGTAGAGTTAGAAGAAACCAGATTTAAAAAACGAAGTCTAAAAGAAGGCTCTGCTTCTAGTTGTATCGTTTGGAGATACTTGTTTTTCTTTTACCTCAAACTGCTGAAGAGCAATTCATCAATATTTCCAATATATAAAGAAAAGTTTGCCAGGTCAGGGGGGCTTCGGGGGGATGCCCTTTATGCTCTCTGACGCTCAGAGGTCTTGCTCACACCAAAGAGAGCGCAAGTGCAGAGCAGATCTACCTCTGTGGGCTTTGAGTTGCAGGAGTCTAATTATCTGAAGCTGGGGTGGGGGCTCCCTCCTTGGAGGTCTTCGGGCAGGCAGATGGGTTCTGGATTTCAGAGCAGAGGGTCAGTCCTGGAAGAGACCTGTTGGATTCCCTCCAACAGTGTGATCGTATGTTGTAGCCTGGAGGTCCCTTTCTAAGCTGTTTATCTCGTGTGCTGTTTTCCTTTTTCCCAGCTTTCATTTCATCACAGAAAAAATGGTCTGGTGGGACGGAGGGAGGTCATACAGGTCACAGCTGGAGGTTTCCCTCCTTGCTATTTGGGAGTTTATTGCTCCCCCCCCCCGCACCCCCAGGATCCACAGACTGTGAAAAGTTGGCTGTTTTTTCCAAGGCGCTTTCCTGCCATCCTAAGCTATTCTCCCTTTTGGCTTCATGGGGTCTGGAGTCCTTGGGTTTTCATTGCATGCCACCTCGAGGTGGGCTTTGCCTTCTAAGCAGTTCTTATGCTGGTGGCCTGGTGATTAATGTGAAGAACAGCTTGACTCCCAACAAAGGCATAAGCTGCACAGTAATTTATATCCCTGCTGTGGGATAAAACCTGCCCCTGCACTGAAGAGAATGGATGGGACCATTTTGTGGAAGTGCATCCCCTACAAAGGGTCATGTGACCATCTTCTTGGGACTTCAGCCTCCAGTTGTTTTCAGGGCATAATTTAATTAGGACAGGAATTGTAAAGAAGTTTTGGGGAGACTTGTGAATGGCTATCTTTCTGGGCTGCCAGTAGCAAGGAAAAGTCTGGGTGTGACCTTGGTTTTAATAGGTAGCAGAGTCATGGAGACGGAAATTTCCTCAAATTCACAGACCACACGTGGGTCTCCAAGTCATTTTCTGTGGCCTGCAATGATATATAGGAAAGAGGAAGCCCTGTGGGGCCTGCATCTATCCTCTGGCAAGAGGGCATTGTCCCTTCCTCTAGTGAGGTGAGAGCAAACCAGGCTGACAGAGACAGGGGTGCAAGTTCACTGGTGGCCCACAGCAGTACAAAGCGTAATGCTCACAGTGAGAGAACAACTGTGCAGATTGCTGGGCTTGGCCAAATTCTGCAAAGTGGCTCCGCATCCAGGGAGGTCAGCCCAAAGGGTGGACGCCCACCTAGACTCACATCAAATGCCCCGATCTTCTCCCTGCCAAGTTCCTGCTTGCTTCCAGCAGCAGCTGCCCAAGGCCTACTTCAACAGCTGGCAACGCTCCCTGTCCCTCCTAGGTGACTCAGGTGGAAGGGAAGCCTCACGTTGCTCTACAAGCCCAGTCCAGGGAGACAGCCGGGGCCCACCTTTGGTAGGAGCTAGGGGTGAGGAGGCCCTGGGCTCTCTTCTGCAGTCAGTGGTTTTGCTGCTTGCAGCTGTTCCCCGTGCCATTTACTGTACACCCAACTCTGGTGTCAGGAGCAACTCAGCCTAGGTAGCCAAGGCAAAATGGCAAAACACAGCTCTGTTTCAGAGTAATGTTTTAAGTATGGGGTTTGTGGCATGACATGATATGCTTCACTCTCTTCATTTTTGACTCACAAGAGATCTTTGTATCAATGCATGAAAAGGCTTTAGTGTTGTGGCCCTCGGACTGTGGAATTAGCCCTCCTGCGGCCCTCATGAGGAGTTGGGTTTGAGACCTCTGATTTAGGCCGTGGAATCCAATCTCCTGCTCATTGTAAGCATCCAGATTAAAGCATCTCATGCATAGAATGGTTGAATTTAGGCTGGATGGTTCTGTTGTTAGATGGACTCATAGTTGGCTGAACAACCACACCCAAAAGGTGCTTGTGAACGGCTTTGCTGCGGTTTGGAGGGAAGTATTGAGAAGGGTGCCCCAGAGCTCTGTCCTGGGCTCAGAGCTGCTTGCCATTTTTATCAATGACTTGAAGAAGACCCTACTCAAGTTAGCGGATGACACAGAGCTGGGAGGATTGGTTAATACTTTAGATGAAGCAGGAGATTCAAAAAGGCCAGCTTGAGCAATGGACTGAAATTCACGGGATGGAACTTAGCGAGGAGAAGTGTCAAGCTCTGCATCTGTGTAGGCACAAATATATAACTGGGAAGACCTGGCCTGGCTGTAGTGCATATGAAAAGGTTCTGGGTGTCCTTGTCAAACACAAGTTCAGCATGAGCAAGCAGTGCGATGCAGCTGCTGAAATGAGTTTCTTGGGGTGCAATAATGGGAGTACAGATTCCAGATCATGGAAAGGTATTGTCTCTTTTGCCCTGGTCAGGCCCCATTTGGGGTCCTGTGTGCAGTTATGGGCTCCCCAGTCCAAAAAGGAAAGAGAAGCGAGTTCAGAGAAGACTACCAAGATGGAGAAGCCCTTTGAAGGACAGTTAAAGGATCTGGGATGTTTGGTCTGCAGAAGAGATGACTGACAGGAGATACAATAGCAGTCCTCGGATATCTGAAGGAAGAAGAGAGATAGACTTTTTTCTGTTTCTTCAGAAAGCAAGACTGGAGCCAGTGGGTTAAAATTACAAGGAAGGCGGTTCTGGCTGGAGTGACAGAAAACAAGTCTCGGTCTTCTTTGCAACATTCACTTGGATCTTTGAAGGGTGGTGTCACTCCATTTTCTCAAGGGACTTCTCCGTGGGACTTCATTTCCTCCTTTGACCATCCCTTTTGTCTTTTCTGAACCTGTTCCAGTGTCTCTGAATCCTCCTTAGAAAGCCAAACCCAGAACTGACAAGGGACTCAGTGATGGGATCAGAGTGATGTTGAATAAAGTGGATCAGTTACTTCCCATAATTTGGAAGCTGCGATTAATGAAAAAAGCTAGCCAGAATGTATGTGGGTCAGCAAGTCCTGTGGGATTCTCTGCAAGGCTGATTTTCCAAAGGTTTTGGACAGCCTCGTAAGTCCAAACAAGTAACCCCACCCATGTGAAAAATCTAAATAGGCACCCTGTATGCTCATATCTCTGCTTGGGAGTTTTAAATGTAACCGCGGTCTTAGTGAAGCTTCCATTTTTAGTCTTCTGGATGCAGGTCTCCTCTCTGTGGAAAGCATGCTATTACAGGAACCTCTACAGCAGTGTTTCTCAACCTCGACAATTCAGAGGTGTGGACTTCAACTCCCAG